CTTCCAAAAAATTTTCCTGGAGTTGGATGGATTTAAACTCTCCCCAAAAGTAAACACTCTGAAGTTGAAGTTGCTTTCCTAAATGCATTCATGACTTTGTCATCGTAGTGTAGGAAAATGTGGTATAAAGATGCCAAGAATTATCAGTGGGTTCCAGTTAATCTTAGTGGAAGGTTGCTTGTCATTAATGTTTTTTATTTTTGCCAAATAAAAGTAAATTTATTGAGTGAAAAATATAGTAGTTAAAGTAAAGTTATGGTAGTTAATAAGTGTTTCAATATTTATTCAGTTTAACTAGTCTAAGATTTATTGCTGGCTTCTGTTTATGTGCTTTATAAAACATGACTTTGCTTTTTTGTACTGCTGAGGAAATAGTAATAGAGACCCTATCTTTATTGCATTAACTTGTTTACTGGTAATAGGATTTGTTTATGTATTTTACTGATTCCATATCAAAGAGCAGAGGACCATCATCAGCTGTGAAATTCTCTACATTTAATGAAATGAAGTCCTCATCTTGAATATGTCCCTAAAATCTGATGATATATCAGAATATATTCATGTTTTGTTCTTGTTTCCATTTTCTTCTTCCAACTCAATCACAGATTGCTAAGTAATTTCAAACATCTAATAAAACTGTCTGCTGAACTTGTTTGGGGGGAAATCTTTCTATTAGTCTGTCTGCAAAATATGCAACAAAATATGCAATAAAATATGCAATAAAATATAGTGAAACCCTGCTTAAACAAAGACAATATTTTTATTTCTTCCTTTGCACTTTGACTACAGTTTGATGATCTACAGAATTCCTGGAGTTGTTTTGTTAATCCTGAGCTATCTGAGTCCTGAGCTATCTCTATAGTTATGCTGCTATATGCTTAGACCTGAAGGACATAGGGACCCCTTTTTCTTCACTCTGCTTCATTCTATCTCTTTTCTCCCACCCTGAAGAATCTGTTAGTTAAATCTGAATTTTCTCTCGTCATCCTCTGACATGGGAGCTGGCTCAGAGCTTGTCTGCCTGGCTGTGTGTTTCCTGGATATTTTACAGTTGTTTTTTGTATCTCTGCTTCTGTCTCCTTGAACCCAAGTCGGCCTCGGCAGATGGCCGTTCACACTGAGCCTGGTTCTGCTGGAGGTTTTTTCCTGTTAAAAGGGAGTTTTTCTTCTCCACTGTCGCTACAAGCATGCTTAGTGTGAGGGATTGCCTTCGAGTCAATGAGTCGATGCAATCAACTGTTTTTCCTTAGATAGAAAACTTTGAATCAATTTGACTGTATGATCTGGTGCCTTGAGATGACGTGTTGTGAACTGGCGCTATAGAAATAAACTGAATTGAATTGAATTTATGTTCATAATGCTTGAGTGCAGATCATATTAAAATGTTGGTGTTATTGCTAATTTAACATTTAATGATTTTTTTTTTTTTCAAAACACCCAACAATTCGGGGTAAAGACACTGTAGGTTTGTAATCGATAGACATTAAATCTAATTTCACTTCTTGCCCCTTAAAAAAAACAAAGATCATTCAAGGAAAGATTTGGAAACAAAGGTATGCAATCAAACAGACTTCTGCATGGGAATATTATCTGTTATTATATTCGTTATTAAATAAATCACAAGGGGCGTTCTCATGAGGCTGTTCAAAAGATTACAATTATCTTTGAAAATACCAACCTTTAAGCAGGTAGGTAATATTATTTTTATTTAAATACAAACATGTTTTTATTGCTTTTGTGTTTAAATAATGTAATCGTTTTTGTTTTCATTATTTTTTGGCAGAAAATCATCTGAAAATTAGAAATCAGAAAATATTGCATTTTGATACTGCTGCAAGTATTATCTAGAAGCCATACATTTGAATATTGTGTTGAAGTATTTATTTCAGTGCTACAAACCAGAAAATGAAGTTGCTTACAGGAACATGTCTCTGATGATTAAAAGCATTGAAGAAAAAAGCAACAATTGATCGGTTTAAGCCTAGAGCTTGACTGGTTTGTAAAGCAAAGTCCATTCAAGATTTTGGGTGAGGATCAAAGGGAGACTCTGCAGCTGGATGAAATATAATGAAAACAATGACATCACCCAAAATGAATGTTTGTTGTCCACTAACAAGACTGAATTGGCAAAGGGATGAACTGGCCCAGATTAATAGAGATACAAAAAAAAATTAAATACCAAAACAACCATAAATAATCAATTAAACATCAAATTTGAGCTAGAGATGCTCAAGAACTGAGTTTTACAACTCAACTAGCTGATTACTGATAGTTTTTTTTTATTACACCCTCTTACAGACACTATGTAGTTTTCTCCCTCATGTCCTGTGCAGTAGTTTTAAATATTAGTTTGGTTATCTGTTAAAAAAAACAACAACATATAAACCACTGACAGTTTTACTTCAGGATCTCCCCTTGGCAAAGTCATGAATCATTCAGGTGTACGTGACCCACTGGTGTGCAGCCACAATCCATAAGCATTTGCTTTCAAGAATGGCAGCTGCATTTCCATTAACCATCAAATTGAACAAACTGTTATCACAAACACAAATTTGGTAAATCAAAACAATGCAATTGTGAAAAACAAGTTTTTCAATAACATTTTTTTTTTATGTTTCAATGAAATTGTTTTCCGGTTGTAACAAAATTTCTATAATTTGCAAAACTGCAATAAAAATAATTTTTCGCAATAGAAACAAGCATATTCTTATGCAATTTTTATTATATTTTTCTTTAAGGGAAATACTGCAGCTGCAGAACTATGCATTTTTTCAAAATTAGCAGAATATCAACATAGTAATGAGTGCATTTGTAATGGAAATGCAGCTACTGTCTTTATATAGGCCTATTGGAAAGTTGTATTGGTGGTGTCCCATATTTACTTTTAAAGCTATTGGCCGATGCCGATTACACGCCTATAATATTGTACATTATATCTTTGAGTCATTATTATTATATTTGACTCATTCATTTACTATACATAAAAATAAAAAACATGTAGGCCTATTTCTACACATTTTGACTACACAAAAATGTGCACGTTTGAAGAAATCAAATATGTACGGAAGAAGATTAGTGCAACTGAAAAAATAAAAAAAATGTTAACTGATCTTAAAATTTTAGTTTAGTTTAATATGGGAAAAAATTCAGTATTCTGACTTTAATCTCAGAATTCTGACTTTTTTCTCTGAATTCTGACTTTCATTTCAGAATTCCGACTTGAATCTCAGAATTCTGAATTTGATCTTAGAATTCTGACTTTAATCTCAGAATTCTGACTTTGATCTTAGAATTCTGACTTTAATCTCAGAATTCTGACTTTTTTCTCAGAATTCAGACTATAATCTCAGAATTCTGACTTTTTTCTCAGAATTCAGACTATAATCTCAGAATTCTGACTTTGATCTTAGAATTCTCATTTATTCTCAGAATTCTGACTTTTTTTTCCTCAGAATTCAGAGTATAATCTCAGAATTCTGACTTTAATCTTAGAATTTTGACTTTAACTTTTTTTTTTTATTGGTTCTAATACTCTTCCGTAAATATGAGATTTTTAAATAGTTTTTAAAGATTGTTTTAATATATAAGAGCAAAATGCCTATTTTATTCCACAGCGCTGTTCGGCTAAAAAATACAAACGAGAGCATTTCAACAGAATAACTTGTGGGGTTATTTAAATAACAAACTTTCTTGCTCCATAAAACAGTTAACTATACATTTGAAACAATTGGTATACATTTAAGAATTCCCTTTAACAAAAAGTGATCACAAGAGAAAATTCTGTAAAAAAAAAATTGTAGCTTTCTGAATATAAAAGGTATAGAAATATTAAAAGTCGTGCGTAATCAGACTCGTTATAAATGACGTTGACTGAGCAGGCGTCCTATCCTCAGTGAAGACCTCCAGTCGGGCATCTTATTGCATTTTAGTAGCTGGCTTTGACAGCGATAGAAACAAACATATGGCCAAACCCAACATGGTGGAACATTAGCATAAGACTCAGAGAGTTTTTTGGCTGAGGTATGATGCAGTGTGCATGCAGAGCGGGTGATTGTTTTCCTTGTATCGCTACTGTAGCCTTACAGCAGGGGAGGGACGGTAATGCGTTAGCTAGCAAGCAGGGATGTGTTTGTTTCTGTAGCACACCCCCTTTGAGAAGATGAAACTGATCAGACCACTACATACATGCACTTGTTAAGGGAACCGAGGTATTAATTCAACGACTTGTTGCCGTATTTTGCAACATAAGTCTTGTTTAAGCTAATATTAGCACAATATCCCTGCAGGGTCTAACAACTGGCGGCTAAGCTAAACATTAGCTTGGAGAAATGTTAGCCTCAATGCAGACCAGGCCGATTCAAACTTTATGTTACTACAAATGATAACTAAATCATTTTAATTTGCTGTAAATATATCAAATGACAATATTAATAAACCACTGATTTTAAACACAGCTTTATTAAGCTCAATATCAAGCTTTTATAAGCTCTCTTTGAATTTGTTGACTGGATGTTGGCGGTTAGCATTTAACGGTTTTTCGGTCTTAATACATTTTAGAGTTAGAAAAGTGAGGTTTTCACGGCATACATCTAATTAACTGTATAATTATTGCTGTAGGACTTCCTAGAGGTCACGAGCTAAAGAGGAATCTACTTTATTCACACCCTGAATATGGTTATTGGTGCATATAAATAGAGGTGCTTCATGTTTTTTTTTTGTTTGTTTTTTACCTTGAGCAGCAAGAGATAAACTTAAATGAAATCTGATATTTTTTCATTAAACGTTTATTTTCATCACAATAAACAATTATTAAAATTAGGTATGTTGTAAATTGTAAGCTAGTAGGGCACATCTCTTAAACCTAATATCCTTCTATTCTTAACGAGTAAAAATACCAAGGGGTTTTGAGCATCTTACCCAGAGTTCTGGATCATTTTACCTTTGTGTAAAGATGCTAAAATTCCCTTTTTATTGTCTTTTTCTTATCATTTATTGGTCACATATGCTTAATGTTTTATTTCTGCTGTTTTGTTTAACGGTTGTAATATTGCATCCCTTTTGTTAAGTTGGAATCATAACATGGTCCTTGTTGAGTGTCCAGATATCGTTAGTAAAACTAAACTGAGGCTGTCTGTATGGAAGTGGATTACGGCTACTGAAAAAATAAAAAAGTTAACTGATTTTAAAATTTTATTTCAGTTTAATATGGGGAAAAAAGTCAGAATTCTGAGATTAAAGTCAAAATTCTGAGATTAAAATCAGAATTCTGAGAAAAAAAGTCTGAATTTTGAGATTAAAGTCAGAATTCTGAGAACAAAATCTGAATTCAGAGATTAAAGTTAGAGTTCCAACTTTTGGAACTTGATATGTATAGCACTTTGTGGCAGCTGTGGTTGTACTTAAAGGGCTCTAGTATACTAGTATACTCTTGTAGTCGAGTATAAAGCATACATATATTTAACAAATTCCGATTTAAGAAAAGGTTTTATGCTTTTAAACCTCTGTTTAGTCCATTTGATATATTTTCTGCAAGGTATAGTTCATCAGTGTTGTTCCACTCAATTTATGTTAGCTAATTATCTCAGCTCTGTTTATCTATGTCCTTTACAGATTGAAAATGGCAGACAGAAAGAGAAAACCAGCTGCCTCCATCAAACCCATAACAAAGAAAGAAAAAGTAGAGCTAAAGAAAAAGGTTTGGGTGCCTAGTAGTTTTTCACGTACAGTACTCTGTGACAGAGTAAATGATAACCTGTGAGCTTTTCTCTCCCTTACGTTTTGTGTTTTTATCTTTCCGTTTCCTCTTCCAGGAGGAAGAGAAAGCTGCTGAGGTTTTTGAAGAATTTGTAGCATCTTTTGAAACCAGTGAAAAAAGCAAAGTAAAGACTTTTGTACGTGGGGGAATTGTAAATGCAACTAAAGGCAAGTATCAACAGCTCAGTGATGCTGGACATCTGAACCGAGGCTTCAGATCTTTTTCTGGTTTTCTCTGTCTGGTATCAAACACAATGGATTTTACTGTAAATAATGAACTTTAGAGCAAGAGTTAGGCTTCACTGTCTGAAATATCAATTTTCTTGGTCTAATATCTTAAAAGTGATGAAGTCTAGATTTAAAGATCATTTATTAAAGAGCTGAAATGTATGGGACCATCCACCCAAAGTGAAATGCAGCTTTTCACCAATTTGTAGCAGTGTTTATCTGCAGTCCTTAAGTCGCAAAAGATATATTTCACAAAAAATAGGCATGTTTACCCTTATCATTCTTTGTTAAAATTCCTAATGAAAGTTCAAATATAAAAAAATAAATCTATAAAAATAAGAACAATTACTACAGCCTCCTTTTTCTAAAGCCCACCTAACTTTCCTCAGAATGTGTGAGAATATTTTTTTCCTAAATGGAGCTAAATAAACAAATTCATGGCAGAATTTATTTCTTTGAAAATAATCTGTCTTTATGCAAAATGCTTTTTGATTCAGACAAAATAAACATTTTTGTTTTGGTATTTTTTCCTTCTATTCTAAATGAGAAAGTGGATTGTGCTTTTATCAAATTATCCTTCCTGCGATCCCCGCAAAGCTGGTTGCGCTAAAACTAAAAATTACAGTAGAATAATGCCGATACCCTGACTCTTTGCAACATGCATCCCCCCCAGCACCGCTTTGAGTCCCAACTCCAGCATCTGACGCTCTGAACTCAGGAAAGCAGTAACACTAGCTGCTCCCTGTGCCGGCCGGTCTCTTCATGCTCCTCAAAGCCGTAGGCTTTGCACATAAACCAGACGGCCTGACGCTTAAAACACATTTATTGGAAAACGCACCATAAGAAGTCCTGTTTGCCGGCAGCCGTATTGGAGGCAGCACAAATATCTGAAAGAAGGGCATGAGACTAAAACTGAACGCAAATAATGCAAACATTATAGAGGCAGCAAATCTCTTAATACTGAGGAGAGATGAGGAGATAAAACCTACAGTTTTACCTACAGGGAAAACAGGGTGTTATAATGGCCTAGTCAAAGTTCAGATCAGAATCCAGTTAAGACTTGAATTTTATGGTTTTAATGTGACAAATTATGTAAAATTTACTTAAACTACTTTTCCAACCCACAGTGTCACGTTGATGTCATTTGAAACCTAATTGTTTTTGAGTATTAAAAGCTAGTGATTGTTGGGGTCTACTTTCTGCAGAGGAGGAAGAAGCAGAGATAAAGAAAAATAAGCTGTATCGACCCACCGCAAAGTTTGTCCCTAGTTCTCAACACGCCTCACTATCTTCGTCTTTGGAAAGCAAAAAGGCTGTAAGTTTGTAATCTTTACACCTTTTCAGGATTGTAGTTTCAGCTTATTTATGAAGGTGTTCCAGTAGGTTAACTAAAGGCTGTTTTCTCCACCTGTTTGACGAACAGGCTTTCAAAAGAAAGACAGAAGAAAAGAAGAAGAGCAATCTTGAACTGTTTAAAGAGGAACTTAAGCTGTAAGCCAGTCAAATCTTTTTACAACATTATGCCTGAGTGTAATAACTGGAGCCACATAATCTTAATCTGCTGTGTAACAAAACAGAATACAGGAGGAACGTGAAGAAAGACATAAAAGGAAGAAAAATGACCCTGAGGTTGGACGAGAAGGGGGAGGGTATGCAGATCTGGATGTTCCAGTACCGGGACGCTCAAGTAAGTTTCTGTTATTAACGTCAGGGTGCCAGCAGATTTTAGTTTTCAGGTCCGATCAAGTGTTAAAATAAATAAACTTATTTTTTAGTTGTTGTTACTGTTTTTTTCTGTCTCTTCCTTCCTTCCTTCCTTCCTTCCTTCCTTGTGCAGTCACATTTTTTGTCCTTCTTTCCTTTTGTCCTTTCCTCTTTCCCTCTTTTTGTTCTTTTTCTTCCTTCCTGGCATATTTCATTGTGTTCTTCCTCTTGTTCCCCTCATGTTATTTCTTAATTCCTTGCTTCTGTCTTTTGTTCTTCACTTTCTGTTGACCTACCTTTACTTCTACCTTGATTTCTTTATTTCTTTGTCTTGTTCCCTTCTAGCTAGTGTTCTTCTGTCTTTCCATCCTTGCTTGTTTTTATTTTTCTAACAGGTTCTTTCTGTTTCATTGTCTTTTTTTTATCTTTCTTTCCCTTTCTTCCTTTCATGCCTTCCCTTTTTCTGCAAACCCCCTCTGCATGTCCTACTGTAGAAATATCCTTCCTGAAGTCTTGATGAACTTATGTTTTAAATACCTTTGAGGTCTGAAAACAATCGCAAGTTGAGTTTTAAAAATGTCTGATCTAGTAACACGAGGAAGGTGTTGAAACCTTGTTAATAATAACCTCTGTTCCGCTCCATTCTGCAGTGCTCTACGACGACCTGTCCACCCCGGTCACCACTAACCTCTATATTAACTGCATTAGCCCAAAGGTAACGGAGTACTCTCAGTTTACTGGAGTGATTTTTTTTTTTTTTTTTTTTTTTTTTTTTTTTTTTTTTAGATCTACACATCACCTCTTATTTTATTTTTATATGTTCTTTAACAGATGAATGAGGAGCTACTATGCAGAGAGTTTTGTAAATATGGGCCCTTGGCCAGTGTGAAGATCATGTGGCCCCGAACGGACGAGGAGCGCTGCAGGACTTCAAACAGAGCTTTCGTGGCTTTCATGACTCGGAAAGATGCAGAGAGAGCCATGGCTGCTCTTGATGGTGAGTTGGAGCTTCTAACGTGATCCTAATCTGGTTTTCTTTTTGTTACCCCTGACAGCAGGAATTTGTTTGCTATCACAGGTAAAGTGATTATGGGCTTTGAAATGAAGCTAGGATGGGGCAAACCAGCCCGCATCCCGCCTCAGCCTCTCTACACTCCAGCTGGGGTGAGAGTAACTCCTCCTCCCCCATCTGGTCTCCCTTTCAACGCTCAACCGAGGGACCGCTTGCGCAACGACTTCACAAAGCCGCTGGGCACGTCCAAAGCAGAGCTGGACAAGGTAAAGCCCCCTCGTCGGGTTATCGTGTCACACTGAACATCTGTTGATCAAGCTAATGTAATACATCAGGTTTGGTCATCTGTCCTGTGCCTAAGAAAAGCATCATACCCCTTAAACCTTTTCACATTTAGTTACAAATCGCTACACAAACATATTTTTCAGGTGGAACCAGGTATATTTCATGGGGATTTCTGTCCAAACACTTCAATGAAAGTTTTTTTCATGTGTGTGTTGTCATCATCCTGGATCTTATCCTGAGTTTTTGCAGAAATAATCCAGTTTTCTTCCATCATTTTTCCTTCATTAAGCTATTTCTTTCTGTTCGCTCTGACCAGCGTCTTTGTACCACGTTTCACCTTGGTAACATTGTATTCATGCTTTCAGTTTTCTTACAATCTTTCTAAAATAACACAACAGTAGCTATCCTTTCTCTCATGGGCTGCAGATGTTTACAGCTCCTCCAGAGTTACAGGTGGCCTCTTGGCATCTTTTCTAAATAATACTCAAGTTTCCTGCACGCTCAGTTTAAGTAGACGAACATTCCCACATAGTTGGTGGGAAAAAAATCCACATTTTCCAAAAATTACATCTTCATAGATAAATAAATAGACGAATCAATAATATTAACACCCAGTGTTACCTTTAGTAATCTCCAGCTTCCTTTTGTGATATAAATGTTTATATTCATACTAGAGATTGACCTTCAGTCAAAATAATCCCCAATATGTTCTGGCTTTTTTTGGGGGGGCTGATATTTCTTTTCCTTCCTCCATTTATATGAAAAACTTATTATAAACATCAAATGAGCATTTTTTATAAATAAAAATATTTTAAAAATAAGTGGCAATTGGTAACCTTGCACTTCAAGCTGGGTTGTCGCGAGATCTGAGTTTTCAGTCTTCAAAGACTCCCGCTAATACGTCTGTCTCGTAAGAAACAGCCAGTAGGACCAATGACATGCCAGCAGTGTTTTTTGGGGCGGGACATGTAGGAATGATGACAGTCAGAAGGGCCTTGCCGGGGCAAACATTGTTACGCTGGAGGACTCGCATTTCGATACCGAAATGGACTCAGTTTTAGCTAAAATAGCAACAATTTCTTGTTTAAAATAGGAGCAAAGAGAAGCACTTTGAGCATTTGTAGTTGGGAAAGATGTCTGTGCTTTTACTCCAACAGGATTTGGAAAATGTTTTATTTATCAGCTTACTCCGCTAGTTGTGAAAACAGTGTATTTGCTGCACGATTCGCTAATGCAATTGGCTGAAAGTGTATTATGAAAGTCAGGTACTAGCTGGCGGGTCACCCAATCAGCTCTAAGTATTGTACTAAACATCCATCCTTTTCACGGACAGACTGAACAGCAGCCATCCCAGATTGATAACGTAGAACTCAACTCAGTTCTGCACGTATCAGTCTGGCTACTGCCGTGTTAGACAATTGGAGGGAACAGCAATGAATACACTTATTCTGATATTAGGCCATGGCTGCTGAATTAAATTCGTAATGAATAATTAATCCATGTATCGGCTGATGCCAATCCATAAAAATAAAAAAAAAGATATCAGCCAAAAATATTGTCCGTCTGATGTATTAGTTTCTCTCATTCATACATATACTTATTTGTATTTTACAGTAGTGATAAGGACGTTGAAGCGAACTGAGCTTTAGTATTTGAAAAGAAATATCTGCTGATAGCTAAATTTGAGTATCGGATTCGGAATCATATCAGAAGTGAAGAAATCGGTACATCTCTAATATTTGGCTCTTAAGTGACTTCTGGGATTTATAAAGGCAGCTAACTAGAAAAAAACAAGCTGCGCACCAGAGCTTAACATTTTTGCCAAAATAATAATAATATTTTCAAACATTATCGCAATTTTATTTAGATTTTCCTTTGCACTAACCATTAGCAGATGGATGTCCATTATTGCAGGATTTTACTGTAACCTCTGGACGAAAAAGTCCTTCCCTCTACTTACATGCATGTATCTAGATCTAACTCTCTTCCCTTTTTTGTGGCGGCAAACCTACTCTAAGCGTATTATTGCCACCTAAAGGGCAGGAGTGAGAAATTTAGTGTATTTCTCTTTTTAAATGTAAAGTGACCAAAATGCAATTATATTGCAAATGCAGTAAATGCCCAACACCGACTTTACGTCATTCAGTTGTTAAATGTTTAGTTTCTATGTTTTTTTTTTTGTAAAGATCATTACAAAACAGTAGTGTGTGGTTGACTAAATGTCTAAAGGTTTAAGGGATATGATTACTTTAGCATGGCTATGTAGGCATAATGAATGCATGAATGAAGGTACATCATTTGGCCTTTTGAATCGTGAAGATTAATCTAAAAATGAAAAAGTGTATCTGCCCTTCATCTGACCTGGTAGGTAACATTATCTGCCAGTGGAATGAGCATTTCCCCCCATAATGATACAATCATATAAATTGCACTTTAAATAAGATAATGGAGATGTTTGTTTATTATTTTAATTGCAAAAATCTCATTTCATTTGCAGAATATTTTATCTACATACAAATACAATGATAACAAAACAATCGTCCTACTTTTAGTTTACTTTTTTAAAGTGTTTGATCATTTAATTAAAGTGAATCATCATGAATTATAGAAAAAAATTTTAATTACCTGTTCTTTGCTCCTGCTCTGAGATGTTACAGGAAGCAGGACCATATTTTTGAGCATTTCTTTTACCTTCTATAGATCTATATGAGTAATTGAGAATTTTGGTCCATAGATTTAAAATGAGCTTAGCTCCCATTGAGGTTTATTTTTTCCCTACATGCTAAAGTTTTGCCCTCCCTCATTCCCCTACAGTTGTCTGATCATGAATGCCTCCGTCGTTTTCTATGCTGTATGTATCCTGCAGTGTTTCATCTGTACAAGTGCTCACTTTGTAATATTTTCACTATTTGGTTTGACTTCACAAACAGACTCTGTCCGATGCCGTAGTCAAAGTGGTTATCCCAACCGAAAGGTACACACACTCTTCTTTCTACGACTGACCAGCTGTCATAGCATTAGTGTCATAGGACAGAAGCTGAGGTGCCATGCACATTCCTTAGGAACCATCAGCTTTTATTGCACCTTACATGCATAAGAGGTGAAAAGTGGAAGCTAATAAACATGATGAAATGGCACCTGTTGTCAGGTTTCTCACAAATATGTAGCTTTTTGGGAATAAATGCATGATCTGATCATATCTATCAACGTCTTTGAGTCCTGGGGTCCACATGGGTTGGCTGAGACACTGCAGACCGATACAGCTGGAAGGCAGATAGATCCAATATTAAACCCCAGTCAGGATTGAGGAGCAGTTCTGTAAATCAAAGCAGCTTCTACCACGAGCTGCAGGCTGCATTGGAGTCAGTCATCAGAAGGTATATCAGTGTTAAGATGGTTAAAGTTGGCTTAATGATTGAGCTCCAAAAGGTTCCAAGCAGCAATCTGCAGGAGCTGTTGAGGATATTTTACACTTGGAATGTCTGCATTGATGATTTCATATTTGTTAGTTGTAGAACTCTCCTTTAGTACAAACTGTTGATTCAAAGCTATTTGATTGAAATGTCCTAATACAGCCACCCTCTGTAATCTGCTTATTTTAAAGGCTCTCTAAGTTTTAAATTTGTTAACGGTCCTGATAATAGCTTGCACTCCTAATCAAGCTTAGAAAAAAATTCACATTTTATTGCAGTAGTATACTCACAAACAGTAGGGAGGGAAGTCGATGAAACGGAGCCCATTTATTGGGATGTTTTTTTTGTGTCTGATTTTGTATTTCTGTGTCGCTCCTGTTGCGTGTTTTAGCCCATTTACACTGAAAGACCCATTCAAGTTATTCTTAAATGGATCTTTATTACGGAAACTTTTGTATTTCCTAATGTTCTTGGTGTCATGCCTGTCCTACTGCATTTCCAAACCAATAGGTGGATAAACGATGCCAGAGCATTATAAATACGCAAGTCTGAATGATTTTTTTCAACCAATATCATAATTGCAAATTTATTGCATTTTTTTCTTTGTACAAAGCAAAAACCCTGTGGAAGTTTTACTCAATGGCTTTCAATTATTTCATGACCACAAAAGTTTACTTGTCAAAGAGTTCACTGTTGCAGGACTTAACCGTAACCAGCAAACCCACTTTTAAGTGCATTACTGCCACCTAAAGGGCTGAAGTGAAACATTTAGTGTCTTACTCTTTTTAGATGTAATGTGACTAAAATTGATTCCCTCTGCGATTAGAAAATTAAATTTTTCTAAATTGTGAGGATATAACAAATGCAATTCAATTCACTTTATTTATATAGCGCCAATTCACAACACGTCATCTCAAGGCAGTTTAGAGAAAAATCAGCAAAATTGATTCAAAGTTTTCTATCTAAAAAAAGCTTAATAACAGGACTGTTAAAACGAATGATACTCAGAAAAGTATGGCTATTGATTCAAAGTTTTCTATCTTCAAAGTTTTCTATCCAAGAAAAAACAGTTGATTGCATCGACTTATTGACTCGAAGGCAATCCATCACACTAAGCATGCTTGTAGCGACAGTGGAGGAAAAACTCCCTTTTTTTTCGCCTTTTGAATATTGACATTTCTCTCAAAAGAATCACAGATTCTAGTTAAATGTGTAAGTGTGTGAATAAATGCAAGGTCAATAAATAATAAGTAAATTTATGTGATAATATTTTATGGTTGAGGTATTATTCTTCTGATGTAAATCTATTAATCTAAAATTAACAATGTCAAAAACATTATCTTCAGTATCAGTATACCAAATTAGTACCGAATTATTTGAATAGCCATACTTTTCTGAGTATCATTCGTTTTAACAGTCCTGTTATTAAGCCTTCTCTGTGACCAGCAGAGAGTATGAGGAGCTTTTCGTGTATTTTCATGAAAAAGCATTTGTCCCTAAGTGAATTATTACTTTCCTTCTGGGCTGCATCTTCCTCTTCTCTGACTAGCATCAGATTTTGAAATGCTAATGCGTTGACAGTCAAAGGGATTTTAAAGGAAAATCATCGGAGAAAACGGCTAAACATTATCAATGGGAACTCGGCAGCTCAAACACGAGCTACCCTGAGCAGTTAGAGGATGGAAAACAGTTTATTCCATTCCCAGCTGTCCATTATCGAAAGAGGACAATCTGCCTTGCAGCTGGACTTCAGTGATTATTGCAGAGCAAATAATTATCCAAATAAGCTTGATTTAAACAACATTAAAACATGCCATAGATTTTTACAAGCTTTTTTATACAGTGAATCTGTGATTATTACTTCAGTTTATTTATCTAGGATTCTTCAAGGCACTTTGCAGACACAATTCAATGAAATCATATAACTGAACTGGAAATGCGACTGCAGGTCACTGAACTGACTTTGCCCTTAATGTGGGCTGATAAGCAGGAAAACGTCAGAGTTCATACTTAGAGCTTCACTACATCCACCATCACTGTTGATGCCTTTTGGTCAGTATTTTTAATGGAAACTTGCTTCTTCCTAAAACACATTTCATGCTCTGACAGCCGATAGATTCAGTTGATTTGCTCTGTGCTTGTTAACATTTGCTGATGAAGATGAGGCTCATCTGTTCAACAAGTTCTCTAGTTTTTCCCACTGAATATGGAAGAATCTCACCCCTATGTTGCATAATGTTCATCTACTTTGAAACAGGAAGTTTTTACCTACTTATTTATAATCTTCTTAGTTGCTTTTATTTTATTGATGTTGTCATGAGTGGCAATAATTCAGGATTCAGGGGTTTTATGAAAACATCAAATTACCAGGAATATTTGATCCCTGCTAAACAAAGTGAAGAGTTTAACGGTTAGATTTAAACTTATTTTGGAATATGCTACTGCAATAAAAGATGAATTGATCTAAAGATTTTAACCCATCTGTACCAGTGGTTTCATTGAGCATACAGGGTGCTGCATATTTAACCTGTTATTGATTTATATTGTTTACATGTTTGAAATGGAGAAGAGTTATTGAAAGTCTCTGAAACATACATGGAAAAAACAAGCAAGGCAGCATTTTATCACACTGTATTTCAGTAGAGAGGTGTCTTTATTCTGCTGACTCAGTGACGGGTGTTTACACCAAGTTAACATGCCGCTTTTCTCCCACAGGAATCTGTTATTCCTTATTCACAGGATGATAGAGTTTGTGGTGCGTGAAGGCCCTCTGTTTGAAGCAATGATAATGAATAAAGAAAAGAACAACCCAGATTACAGGTAGCTACTCTGCAGACAATCACACAAAATAAAATAAAACCCAGAAAGTTAATTTGTGATTTATTGTTTATACTTTTTTTTCAGGTTTCTTTTTGACAACAAAAGCCAAGATCACGTGTATTATCGCTGGAAGCTGTTCTCTATCCTCCAGGTAAGTTTGTGTCACTTAAAGGCCAGATCTACAAAGAGCAGCGACTAAAAAAAAAGTCGACCTGAAAATATAAAAGGACGGCAGTTATGTTGTCTTAATGGAGCGCTCACAACCAAAAAACAAACTTTTCATAATCCTCATCGCCATGTAGGGGACCAAGACATCTCGCCTGGTTAGCCAGGCAAAAAATGATCCTAACAACTCCCCTTTTCAGAAGCATAGACCAGTACTCCCCATTCCTAAGGGGCGGACCTGTTCTTCTGGTTCAATTTGCATGTTTTCTAAGCCAAAACAAGGCTTTGTTGGGCTACTCTATAAAGATTGGAACTCAACGCTAATTCAGACAATTTAAATTGAAAAACCTTCCTGGATGGGAAGTAAAACTTCTTGAAACTAGGAAACCAAGTCCAGTGGATTGTTTTTTGTTGTTTTTTTTTGACTTTTTTTTGAATAATTATGACTTGGATACGACGGAGTATTAGGGCCACACATGAAGAGAAAAAATATTTTTGCCATCAAGAGATTAAACTCGACATGTCGACTTTAAACTCGCGATTTCGAGAATAAAGTTGAAATGACTGACATGTTCTCAAATTCAGAACTGCGAGCCTGGGTAAGCATAGGGAAAGATGTTACGTTATTATTGGTAGGCCACCGCTTCCTGTGATGATTATATAGTTGCAGCACATCAAAGACTACCTTCACTCTTAAAACGCAGACTGCAGCTGTGGAGCGCGGTTGCTCTTTTCTCCAAACTTTGGAATGTCGAGATTAAAGTCGCCACGATATATCAACTTTATTCTCGAAATGGCGAGTTTAAAGTCGACATGTCGAGTTTAATCTCGTCATGGCAAAAATATTTTTTCTCTTCATGTGTGGCCCTAATACTCCGTCGTACTTGGATGACCAAGAATGTTCACCAGCAGAAAAAAAATAGTCCAGCAGGGATCAAATCAGGGAATCAAAGCGAAAGATCGGAGCAGTCCATCGGGTAGAGAGGCCAGTGCAGAAGAGGAAGAGTGTCTGCTCTGTAGCAAAGGGAGGAAGACAAACACTCTCTCCTTGCTAAATTAAACCAGATTTTTTAAAGCCACCTACAACCCTCTTAAGAGGATTCCCTACTTCCTTTGTCAACAGTATTTTCTCTATCTTCTATTTTGATTGATAAAAGCTCGACTCTGCTGCCTCCTTCATTCTACATCAAAGCCACATGTGGTCCGTGAAAATATATACAATATGTACATTTTTCAATATTGCTTTGCCACCTGTGCAGGTGTGGCGGTGCTCTCATTTCACTGTTATGCTACGTTCTCTCAGAGCAGCAAGAGCAGCCAGTTTACATGCACACCCACCGCATCAAAACGTCCTGCAGCACATATTGAAGCATCTGGAGCAATGCATTATGAGCATTTGAGCCTCTGAGGCACTCGACAAGCAACCGACACTAGAGTTGGAAATCTGAACTTTAGCTGCTTGAGGCGCCACAGCAATCAAGGAAAGGCTCTGCTATGCAATGGTGTCCTGCGGGGCACCAATGCCAGTGGCACGTTGTCATTCTAGTCTCAGGGGAGTATTCTCGCCTCTGAAGTATCTGGTTTAGTTTCATTCAATAAAATATAATGTATTCTCGTAACAAAGAAAATGATGAGTGAAAGAGCAGAAAGATGTTTGGAAAAAAAAAAAGCAGAGGCCCCCAAAAGTGGCATTCTTTAGCTTTACTCAGTATAAAAACCAAAGTCACTATTTCAATTTCATCCTCCCAAAGAGAAGAGGTTCCCACCAACGTGCTTCAGGCCGTTAATGAAGAACTTTGCTGATGTGAGCCTAGAGTAGACCTTCAACGTGGACAAGCTGCTTAGCTGCTCAAAGTGCGTTCGGTGTGATCACAGAATAATGGCCTTCGTCTTGCTAGGACTGCATCCTTCTAGAGAAAATGCATATGTTTTCTAGAGAAAACATATGCATTGATCGCTCCGGGTGTGAAAATCCCAGTGTGAGCTTTACACTTAAAAATTATGGTTTCTTCTTTAAGCAATATTGCAGATGTTTTTTTTTTTTGTTTTTTTTTTTTACAATAAAATAAAGTAAGATCCTAAGATTTTCCAGCCTGCTGTGAGCAGCAAAAAAGTCTTTGCAGATTTAAAAGGTCTTTCTGCGTCCCACAGGGCGAGTCCCCGACAAAGTGGAGGACGGCAGAATTCCGGTTGTTCAGAGGAGGCTCGTTGTGGAGACCCCCCATCCTCAACAGTTACACTGAGAGCTATGAAGAGCGTGCAGCTGTGGAGGAGGCTGCCCCGCCTGAGGAGGTGAAGAAGGGCCAGCTCAGATCGGAGTAAGTCCACCCTCATTTAGAAGTGCCCTGACTTTATTAGAGCTGAATGTTTTAATATTCCCACTCCTTCCAGGCACAGACAGAGACTAGAGGCTCTCCTGGAGGAGCTCACTCCCAGCAGGGACGATATAGCCAGTGCCATGTTGTTCTGTCTAGATCGAGCAGATGCAGCAGAGGAAGTTGTGGGACAAGTTTCAGACTCTTTCTGCCCGCTTCAAATTCCCCTTCAGAAGAAGGCTAGTTCTCCTGCTTACAGTGCATTTCTAAGTATACCTCACATTTAAGCCTGGTTTTTACTCCCGGCGTTAAACGGTGAGCTTGTCACGCCGTCGCCGCCCCCTGGATGTCTTTCTGTTGTTGAAGTGGAAGCAAACTTTGCAGCGTTTGGTGTTGGTCTGTTTTATAAAATCCAATTACATGGAAGTCTGCAGGGGGAAGTGAAAACGTTTGGAAGCACCATGTGAATCATAAACATTAAACCGAGTTAATAATGAATTCATTTGTCATGAATCCCACAGATTTCCAGATTGTACCTGGTGTCGGACATCTTGCACAACTCGTGTGCCAAAGTACCCCGGGCATCATATTATCGGAAATAGTAAGAAAAAGTCGTCTCATTTCACTTCTTAAAACCTCAGTTCTTTTTTACTTGCTGTAATTCTTAAAACAATCCCACTCTCTGCAGTTTTGAAGCAAAGTTACCCCAGATATTTGAGCATCTGCATGCAGCACATAAAAACATCCAGGCCAGGCTGCAGGCTGAACAGTTCAAGGTAAGCTTTCAAAAATGTTCCTATAAAACTCTTTGACCTGGAAGAGAACTCTTAAAAAGATCCGAACGCTCTGTCTCCACAGCAAAAGGTCATGAATTGTTTCAGAGCTTGGGAGGACTGGGCCATTTATCCCCAACCTTATCTAATCCAGCTTCAGAATATCTTTCTGGGCTTCACCAAAGCAGGAGAGGAAGAAGAGGAGGAGATTGCAGAGGTGAGCTTATCTCCTCGATGCAGACGCTGCTGTTTCTTTTTGTTACCCCTGTCAGACATGGTGAGCTTTATGTTTGTCTTTATGTAGGAGGTATCCGGTGAGATTGATGGCGCGCCGCTTGACAGCACGCTTATAGACGGGCTCCCAATGGGAAAAACTCCAATAGACGACATAGACGGATGCCCCATTGGCTGGGACCCCCTGGATGGAGTCCCTGTTGATGACATAGATGGCGTTCCCCTAAATGCAGCTATTGATGACATCGATGGAGTACCCTGTGAGTCCAGCATTCAAAGTCAAGTTAGAGAGTCTCAAAGCTGATTCTTTGTTGCCTATTGAGGTTTTTTTTGTTTCCTCAGTGGATGAAAGTAACCTTCCACTCTCCAGAGTGCCTTTGTCTAAATGGGAGAAGATCAGTGACACTGGTGAGACTTTATCAGGCTTATTCTGTCCCTGGTTTAACCCCAAATATCCTACTGATGGTTCCGTTTGTTCCTATCAGTCCAAACTGAGTCCAAATGGGAAACCTTAAGGGAACAGGTTGATGAGAACAAGGTTAATGTGAGGTAAGCTCTGATTTCACCTCGCAGTCAATGGTTTGAATGAAAAGAAAAGCTGTAATATTTCCTCTTATCTGGCTTCAGCTGCAACTCACAGGAGGAAGATGAAGACTCGGAGAGTGAAAGCAGTGCCGATTCCTGCAGGTCGCCCAACTATGAGGGGGCAGTTTTCTCACAAATGTCGGAGAGTAAAAGGAAAAGGCTGAGAGAGGTGGAAGTAAGTGTTGCTCCATCAGAAAACTGACTCATTATTCACCCGTAATCCATAACTGCTCGACAGAAGGTTGAGAAGTTTGATGCAAGACATTAGTTTTTCCCTCAGAGAAAGTCTTTATGAATAAAATATCTTCAGTTAAGCACTAATTCATCTGTGATCTCAGAATGCAAGCATTGATTTTAAATCATCCTTTATTATTTAGACTTATTTAGATTGGTCTGGAGCATCTTTAAACTCTGGACGATCTTTGATTGATGAACAAAGATCGGCTCCTGTATAAATCCTGGAAATTAAAGAATTGTTTTATCCAGAGTTAATTATATAAAAAAAGAAATACTCTTAGAAATTGATCAATTCTGGTGAAGATTATCAGTCATCCAGGTCATAGTCATTCCAAAAAACAAAAAACAAAAAAAACAATCCACTGTACTTTGTTTCCTAGTTTGAAGACGTTTCACTTCCCATCCAGGAAGCTTTTTCAATTCAAAATGTCAGAAATGGCTTTGAGTTCAAGGCTTTTGAGAGTGAACCAAAAAT